TTATGAATAAATGTAATAAATAAATAAATGCTTTGCATTTTTGTAGTTGGTAGATTACTTTGACTTGATCATTTTATACGTAGCTCACATGATGAAAAAGTGTGAGCACCCCTGATTTAAGGTATGCATCAGAAAAAATCATGTAACACCTTAAAGGCTTGTAGGTAAGCAAGCGGCCATCTAGCTCAGAAGCAACAAAGCCCACACGGAAGAAGCACACCAGCCTGTGCGATCACGAGGTGTTGAAGGAATCAGGTATAAGGCATCATCAGAACAGAAAATCTTACCATAGTGAATTGTGGGGGAAGGTCAGATGCGCAGGAATTCCCTCCCCTGAGGGCAATCAGTTGCCAGACTGCTGTCTCATCCCACCACAGGGGTGGGCCTGCTCCCTGCCTCTGGGGACAATGGACAGGCTCCTGTAGGAGGAGTTTTCACCCTACAGATAACGGTTCCTTTGGAGACCCAGAGACCATCCCCTATACCACCCCCTCATTGCTGTGTAACCTATATTGCAGCCCTTCTCTGTGACATGTCTCTACCTGCAATTAGTGGGCTGGCATGGCCCCAAAAGATATATAGGCGTGAATCAGCAATATAGAGCTCTCTGACTCTGATCTCTCGTTGCTGCTAACTCCCTGGTCACTGCCCTCTCTAACCCCCTCTCCCTTGTTCCTTTCCCTTCCCCCTCTCTCCACGTGGACCACCAAGCTGGGCTGAGGTAAGCAATGCTACCATGTAACATGTCTGACTGCATTATTGTAATATCTCTCATGCTCTCGATGACGCTAATATAATACTTATATACCTCAACCGTACAATTGTGCATTACTGAACCCAGAAGTAGTATTACTGAACCACTGAGTTCTTGTAGCAGGTGGCGCTGGCACCCCACTCCCTCGTGCCATTTTTATTTAATACTACAGTGAATGATGTGGGGAGTGTGGAGTGACGACCCAAAGCCCATTTATAGGCCACTGGAAATCCCTTGCAGAGGGGTCTCGGAGAGGAGACGAGCCAGACAGGGTGCGATGTAGCAACAATGAAAAATACAACTTTCCTCTAGTTCCTAAATGCTTGCCCCCACCCCCCCACCACTATCATGATCCGAATTCTACCTTGCAAGTCTGGCTAGACCAGAGGATGTACACTGGTACAGATAGGAACTGGAAATACAGGGAATCCAGGGTGGATGATCCCTAAAGGACCAGTGGTGTGAGTGGCGATACTGGGAGGGTAGAGGAAGAGTGGGTTGGAAAGAGGGAACCGATTACAAGGAACTATATGTGACCTCCTCCCTGGGGGACGGACAACAGAAAAGTGGGTGAAGGGAGACATTGGACAGGGCAAGATATGACAAAATAATAATTTATAAATTATCAAGGGGCGGAGAGGGAGGGGAAAAATGAGGACCTGATGCAGGGGGCTTAAGTGGAGAGGAAATGTTTTGAGAATGACAAGGGCAATGAATATACAAATGTGCTTTACACAATTGATGTATGTATGGATTGTGATAAGAGTCGCATGAGCCCCTAATAAAAAATAAAAAAAATCATGTAACGCTAAGATTATACTGTTAGCTTTCTCCACAATAAATGCTTATGGAAATAATGGTAAAGAAATCAAACAATGTTTTGCACTGGGAAAATCTGCTGCATAAGACCTCTGTAAAGTTTTAAAGAGTAATGATTTCACTTTAAGGACTAAGGTGCACCTGACCCAAGCCATGGTACTTTCAATCACTTCATATATATGTGAAACTTGGAAAATGAGTCAGGAAGGCATTAGAATGATGATGTTGGTGAAGAATATCGAAAGTACTGTGGACTGCCAGGACACAAAAAAAGTCTGTCTTGGCAGGAGTCCAACCAGAATGCTTATAAGTGAGGATAAGGGAGGATGCCTAAACTAAGTGTTGAGTACTTCTGACGAGGGATCAAGAGACATCAGTCCCTGGAAAAGGATATTATGCTTGGTAAAACAGATGGCCAGTGACAAGGGTTAGCTCCTCAATGACACGGGTTGACACAGTGGCTGCAACAATGGGCTCAAACGTAACAATTGTGAGGATGTTGCGGAATATAGCAGAGTTTCATTCTGTTGCACACAGGACTACCATGAATTTGAAATGACTTGCCAGCACTTAACAAAACAACAGCATTCCCCACATAAGCCTATATTTGTTTCTTTGTAATCTAAATGATTCTCATTGGGTAAGATATTTTTGACATGAAAACATGTCCATGAATCGATTATGCCTACGTGGGAATGAGAAATGACAATTTGTAACTGCCAGTCACTGTTCTGATGAACACTTCAAACACTTCCACCAGCTTTTTGTCTGAATACAAGGAATCAAACCAAAACAATATTCATTCTAAAGAAAAGGTGAAACTATCTTAACCCAAGCAGAATCCAAGACAAGACACTTGAGAATTAACTGAATGACTTCAACTTCCAGGGCTAGAAAATTTAGTACTCTTTTATTCAAAATTTCCCCCCTAAAAAACTCAATAATTTTACAAATTAACTAAATAGATATATTAAGTGTTCCAAGAAGAGATTCTGGGAAAATGGTAGTGGGATAAACCGAAATGAGAAAACTGATGTCTCTCTAGCTTTTTCCTGTGATTGAATCAAACATTAGGATTATCATTAGTGTTATTTAGAAAAAATAAAAAGATATGAGGAAGACAAGACAGTTATAGTGAAAAATAGAAAGGCAAAGGGATTAAAACTTAACTTGAAACATTCTATCATTCCATGCCTTTGCTTATTCATCTACATTTTTTCCATTTCTTTGATTAACTTCTGTTATCTTTCAAGTCACAATTTGGATATTACCCACTAGGAACATATCTTCAATCCTTCATAACTAGCGCCTCACATTATTATGCTGTAAGATAATGCAGATAAAACATTTTTCATGTATTTGTTTTACAGAAATTACTGTATTTTAAAACTGTTTAAGAAAACAACACTAGGGCCAAATACTGTGCTTTCCAAACTCTACACTTGAACATTAAGAATATTATGTCGAGAATGAAGGAACACAATGACCTAATCCATTGTATGTTTAGTCACCTCACATACTTAGGAAAGCTGGACATGAAATCAGATGGTCAGAGATGAATTGACATATTTGAATTGTGGTGCTGGTGAAGAATATTGACAGTCCATGGGCTGCCGAAAGAACAAACAAGACAAATTTTTGTCTTGGAAGAGGTACAGCAAGAATGCTCCTTTAAAGAAAGGATGGAGAGAAATCTCACATACGGTACTTTAGACAGGTTAAGAAGAGAGCCTAGTCCCTGGAAAAGGACTACTCGTGGTTGGTACTACTTTACTAAGCATGATTTCCTAAGAATGTCTTCAGGACAGCCTAAAAATGTGTCCAAAGTATGTGAGATGAAATCTCTTATATTGGATATCAATATAAGATATATTGGATATCAATATATTGGATATCAATAAACCAAACCCCAAAACCAAACCCACTGCAATTAATATGCGATTCCGACTCATATTCACACTATATATGGCTAGGGATTCTGTAACTCTTTATGGGAGCTGACACCTCATCCGTCACCCATGGAGCAGCTGGTGGGTTTGAAGCCCCAACCTTCTAGTTAACTGCCTCACACACATTGGCACCAGGGTTCCTGGAACACTGCTAAAGAGGTCACCAAACAATTATAAAGGAAAGCTCCTAACATTGATAGAACACGATCTACTCTGAACCAGCATGTTTGAAATCGTATCTTAGGGCGAGCTACAAGCATGACTGGACAAGCAGAGGTCCTCGGGAAGCTCTAGTCCTGCTAAGTGACTCTGGACTTTGTTCCTCAGCACATTCTGACCCAGGCAGTTCAAGTAAGAAAATATTATTTTCATGCAATCACGCAGTTTAGAAATTTGAAAAATCTGAGTTATATTGACTCTTCAAAATACACTCAGGAACTTTCCTCCCCCCGCTTTTTTTGAGAAATATCAATATTCCTACAGAAACCACATAGAAAGTCCTGAAAACAAAAGCAGACTTTACAGTTCTATGTTCATAACAAAATAATTTGCTTTACTATCATTATAAACGTATATATATGCTTTTCAGAAGTTCTCTACAAGTAACGTCATGTAAAAGTTTGAAATACTTGCATGGTATTCAGCATTTGCCATTTTATAGTTATAAAAACTGATAAAGGGGTACACTAAAGAGCAACTCAAAATAACAATGGCAAAGAAAAAGAGACTAAAAAAACACAGGCATTATATTCAGATACTCGAAAAATTATAAGACAATGGGCACTCTGTACCTCTAAGCTGCTTTTCAAACTCTTCAGATAAGAGATGATAGCAACACCCCACACTGCAGACTCCCTTGATTTCGTTCTTGGAAGTAAATATGCGCAGAGTGTTTGCAGCAAGATCACCACAAGTATGTAAGCCAACCATCAAACAATCCTTCAGAGAAGAGAAGAAAAATGAGTTTTAGTAATTAAAAGGAAGGCTAAAAACAATTCAGATGAGGACTTTAAACACCCATTAGAATATGTGTAACTTTTTATAATTATAAAAGTCTTCCTAGAACAGTTTGTTTCACTTTTATAACTTATTTCATTTGGGCAAAATGTCTGTCATTGCCTATGTGTGGGCTTCAAAAAGTTCATGGAAATTGTGTATTAAGAAAAACAATGCACGTATTTCAAGAAGATTTGCCATTAAAACAAATCCATATTAACTTTTTTTT